CTATTAGGTTGGAGGCCATCGCTATCAGGTTGGAGGCCGTTGCTATTAGAAACAAAGAAAAGGAAGAAAGGTCTAATATAGTTTGCTTTTAGGTTGGAGGCAATCGCTAGCAGGTTATCAGGTTTGAGGCCGTTGCTATTAGAAACAAAGAAAAGGAAGAAAGGTCGGTTGGAGGCCATCGCTAGTAGGTTGGAGGCTGCCCCTTTTTTACAATCCCAAAACCATGGCATTCCTGTAGATTTTCCCTGAAACCATATCTTTGATATTAGAAACACAGGAAAGGAAGAAAGGTCTAATCCCTATGGATCCACATACCTTCTTAGAAGGTGATTGGAGACTATTCATGTAGGCTTGGGGGGCCCAATTACCTTCTGAGAAGGTATGTGGATCCATAGGGAATATATAGTTGCTATTAGGTTGGGGCTCCACGGCTCCGAGTGGTTTCGACAGGCCCGATTGCAAGGCCCGCTTGCCGTCCCCCGCCCTCCGACTGGGGCTGAGTCAGAGTGAATTCGGGTACCAAGCAGTTCGAGCGCCTACGGAGGTGGGCCATAGCGCGATCTACGTACGTGTTTGGTTGATGAATAGTAGGGCCACCACTAGCAATATGGGTCAACTAGAGTTCAAAGACCATTCAAGGAAAGGGTTGACCCTTTTTTGTAGTCTAAACATTCTCTAATCCCTGAGTAAAAACAGCGTTTTTTTGGGATTCCGACCCTTCCAACCATGGTTCGGCCGGGAATGCCGGCGACCCGATCCGATGCCGGATCCGATGCGCCGTGCCAGTGGCCACTGCCTTGCGTGAACGATCCCGGACACCGACGCCTTTGAGTGGAGTACTGGCACGTGGAGCGGTCTTTCCTGGCATGTGGGAGTGGGGGTCTGAGACAGGGTCTGTTCGTGAGACAGGGTCTGTTCGTGACTTGAAGGCTGTCCTTTTTTACTAGTAGGCTGGAGGACATCGCGATACTGGAGGCCATCGCTAGTCAGCTGGAGGCCATCGCTAGTAGATTGGAGGCCATCGCTAGTAATTCAGTTCCTTGAAGTCTGTTTTATTTTCTTTTTAAAAAAGAACACATTCTGTCAGAAACTCAGCACATATTCTGTTCTTACAAAACTGCTGCGCTTTCGTTGTCTTCCGGTTTTCCTTGAATTGGCAAGAGGCACACGCCCGTGGCTGCCGTCGTGCCTGCAGCATCCGAGATCACAGGCATCTGTTTCACAGAGGGCATACATGACATAAAGAGCAACCATAATACATTAAGTAATATCAAACCCTAGGGATCCAAGTACCTTCTCAGAAGGTGTTTGGGGTGGGTGCCAGGAGGGGCACTTGGTGCCTTCTGAGAAGGTACTTGGATCCCTAGGAAAAGACATTGAACATGCTTTTATGCATCAATTAGTCATTCAATACAAGGGCTTTTATACTGTTGGTGTCCTTTTCAACCGCCTTTGGGGATCTCCTGCTTCATCAAAAACCCCTCAAAAACACGGGAAGCGAAGCCAAACAACACACAAACCTTCGTGGCAAACTCCTGTCTCTCGTGGTCATGCATGCTGGCGGTTTTTCCATTTCCTTCTGGATATTTTGGGGAGAGATTTCGCCTATAGCCTAAGGCCCAGAGATACCATCAAGCCGCATTCCAAGCGTTTCAGAGCAATTTTCGACGAAGCTCTTCCACGGGAGATCTGATGACCCTTTGTGAGGCGGCCTGCTAGGCGTGCAGCAATTCATTGCACAGAATCAGCTGGATGAGAAGTGCATTGAGGCAGGAGGCTGTTTGCACACGGTTTTAAGAACCTTCAGGAAATGCTGAAAAGAGAACGTTTTCAAAAGTGGCACACATATGACCGATGTTGTGATGCATGATATTTCTGAGAATTGCGGTGACATGTGACAATGTTGTTTAATGGCATATGCTTCATTGGGGGCCTGCCATCGCATCCTCTGAAAGCTTTCGTTTCATGGGCACGCCCCTTATTATCGGACCGGCACGGTAGGTGGTTCCATAGCGGGGCGTGTTTGGTCTCTCCTTTCGCGGGCGTGTTTGGTCCACGGGAACCAAACCTGGTTTGATGTAGCCTTCCAGAGTGGAGGTACCGCTTCAGGAGGTACATGATGAATTTCCTGAAGACTGAAGACGTGCATTTCGAACCCACCGATCTGAAGGTATCAGCTGAGGGTATCAGATACAGCCTCGGTCGATGAAGTTCAACCCAGAAGGGTGGAGCCACGGGGCCCGTGTGGCTCGTCCCATCCGGGGCCCGGCACCGGAGACAGCTCGAGGCACTGACGACCCAACCGCCTGAAGTGCAAACTCATGTGGGGGCCTGCGAGTTCGGCGCGAGTTGGGCGCGGAATTCGAGTGAAGGACTTGACTGTCACCTTTGCCCGAACTGCATGTTCCATGGCAAAAGTACTAAAATTCGAATATGTGGGAGGTCGTCTTAAGACTGGTCGTCTGGTTTTCTTCACTCGTCTGAAGACTCCTCAAATTGGCAGTGTTCCTATTCATTGAGTCACTTCATCAGAGATTAGGGTGCTTGTGTTGAGGTTATCAACCAGGGCCCAGCCGAGGGCAGGAGGCTGAGGAAAGTGTGGAATGCAGGTTCCCTTTCTTGCTAGTCGGCCTCTTGACATATATATATATATATACATACACATGCCTATGGGGGTCTCCCCTTTTTGACCGCACTGCATGCTAGGCAGATATGGTTGACTAACATGTGCTTCAGCTTCAGCTGCCAAAGGCTGTGAATTGGACTGAGGCTTTTCCCCAGCAGGGGCTGAATCTCCCTGCCATGCATTGCCTGTCTAAGGCCGAAACCCCTCTGCCATGGTGATGGGAAGGTGCCAACCTCTGAAAAGACAGCGATTGGTTGGCAGATTCAATGATTTCTTGCGGATTTCTGAAGGTTTTCAAGGGGTGTGTGTCTCGTTTCATTGTAGATATCGGCAGATTTCTGTCAGGAGTTCCTTCTAGAGGATTCTTGGGTTTCTTGAAGGGTCCCTTCTTGTCGAAGCAGCGCGGATACGCTGGTCTTGACATTTGCTTCTCGCCTTCCTGATGTCGTCTGCTTGACTGGGTTGCCGTTGGAGCTTAGTGAAAAAGGAATGTGCGATGTTTTGCAATTCTCAACATACATGTGGCATGTCCCCTTTCTTAAATTCGTTTGCATTGCTTCGTGGCAGGAGGGCGACTGCCCACCTTGCGCTTGAAATATTCTAGAACGGGTTGATAAATCCAACCATTTGCCAGTCATGGTATGTGTGTGCCTGTGACTATACCTAGTCCGACCTTGCCATTACCAGAGGTGCGGTATTGGAGAAAGTAGCGCGCTTGTGCTTCGCCATTGAGTGGCCGAAAAAGCCGTTGTCACCAGAACACCGCAATTGCGGTCAACACGTCAGAGGTTATCAGCTGTAGCGCTCCATCCGTGCGCTTTGGAGACCAGATTTAAGTTTTGGTGTGTCCCATGACCTAAAAACAGTCGACCAGGAGTCACCAAGGGGTGGTGTTTTTTAGTCCCTTAAGTGAGTGGATAACGGGCACCCCTAACCTCCATTAAGCACCCGTTTGTGACTGCTGGGAGACATATTTATCAATATTTTGCGAAAGGCCTAGCTGCTAACAATCATCATCCACTGATACTGGGAATGGGATATACTCATAAAAGTAGATTTGTCCTGGCGATCTACTACCTCGTGTTCCACGAGCGTACGACGCTTCCTTCCATTCACTCACGGTACAGGCGAACATCCACCAGTTCATACAAGAGCATCGCCTTTGCACATAGAAAACAAACACTGGCCCTTGGTAGCCTTGGTAGCCATCCATTGGTCCATCCAATTGCTGCACCCACACATTTACCCGTGCACACCGGATATGCTATGACCGTTGACCGTTGAAGCATTTCTTGCATCGTCACCAGTAGAACATGCTCAACCATGCCTACGTTGAGTTTCTTGTACATTTAGTGTTGAAAATCAAAGCCCTAGAGGTAAGGACGCTACTAGTAGCTCCTGGCCTTACTACTAGGAACAAGGACGCTACTAGGAACAAAGGGCATCGCTACTTGGAGCAAGGACGCTACAACCTGTCCTAGCTCCTAAGAACAGCCGTGCACCTGCGGCGCGGGCAGGTTCTCATAATACGGCGTTCGGCGTTTGTTTTCTTAATACTTCAATAGCGGGCTTTCTTTCAGAGGAAGAGAGGCATGCAGAAAACCCATGTTAGAACATCATGTGACATGAGACATGCGATATTTCTCTCCCGTTCGGACCAAAGGGCAGGAAGGTTTTCCCCACGTGTTTCCCCACGTGTCCAGTGGATGTTCGTTGCTGGTCATTCCTTTGGGTCTGTGATTGGTCGAGGATCGCCAAAGCGCAGCGAGAACTTGAAAGTCACGCATCTCCAGATCTCCAAGCACAGGAGAGAATACGGCCGATGTTTTTGAACATGCATTGGAGTGAACCAGTGGCAGAAGGTGAACCTGTTTGAAGGCAGAACAAACACGTGTGTTTAGACCGGTGTTAGGACCAATCGTGTGCTGATCTGTGATCCGAACATCCTGACCTGATCCGAACATCTGGGCAGGTCGAGGCCTTTATTGCCGAAAATGCTTTGGATGCCAAATGTTCAGAGGCCGCGGGAGCGAAGCCCTGAGACTCCTTTGAGGGCCACAGTCGAGCCTCTTTTTGAACGCTGGTTGGGTCGGTGGACTCTCGAAGCCTTGTCGCTACCCCTCTGCTCGAACGCATGTGAAGGAGCTTGGAGTTGAAAGACCTGGGACGTTGACGGTCAACACAAAAACAAGGACTCCTAAACGTCTGAATGCACCAACCTGACAGGCACTGCGGAGTCAATCCCAGACCTGCCAGGCCTGGGCTGAGACATTCGCTTCAGAAGGATGTCTTGCGGCTGAAAGCCATTCCACCATTTTCGGTCAGTTCTCTACCAATCCAATGGGCGCTTCTACCGGCTCGGTAGGGTTCCTGGTAACCGCCGACCTCTCCAACGTGTTGGGGGTGTTGGCGTGATACGAAAAGAGGGGGTGAGGTCATTGCAATACACGAAGACTATTGTAGACTCTTGATGAATACACCACCCCACTTGAATTGAACATCCTCTTCATATGGGGAGGTTTATTCATCAGATACGCAGACCTTGTCTGCAAACGGTCGCAGCTTTCCCAGGTGGCGGTGATCAGCGGGGGTCCGGCGGCTGGACGCAATGCTTCTGCTATGGCATGGGATCCCAAAAAAAAGCGCCGGTGGTGTTCAGCGCCACGTTCGTCGGTTTGGGCCCCACAGGGCTGGGCAGGGTACATTCGGGGACACGAAAGGCCCCACCCCGTGCGTGGGGCGTGGGGGGTTTACTGGTGCTCGATTTGCAAGAAGGGTGAGCATTGTTACCCTTGAGGCCAACGCATCTTTTGCTCAAAAGGTGTATGACAGTGAGACCATGCCCTAATGTTCTCACTGGTGCACATGAATGTGTGGGCACGCAGGGAGGGGAGACCTCGCGGCTATTCGAATCCTGGGCTGGCCTGGAAAATGTTTAGAATTGAATGAGTTACAGTTACTGTATATGTATATATATATATAATACTGCCAGGCCAAGTAATCCACATGCATGGTTTTGATTATTGTGTTGCTGTGCTAAACAGTTGTGTTTCTTATCTCTTTCATGGGCCTCTTAACATGTCACCTTCCAGATCGAGATTTGGTCTGTTTCACACTTAAAACCAGTGATCTTTCTCAAACTTTCTCTTAGACATCGAGTCTGATCCACAAACCCTCCAAGTTGGCCCCCACCATCACCTGGATCCCACAGGCCCGAAGAACGATGTCACGGCTCCGCCGGCTCGCTGCGTTCGTTGGGTTCTCCCGAGACGCAGCCTCCGATCGAGACGAACCAGACGTCGTCAGCCGAGCCACCGATGCTCTCTCGACGGGCTGCCAGCGGCCTGAGCTGGCCATCAGGTGATGAGCCGCATTAACAAGTTCATTCGAGCAGGAGAGGGGTGAGATGACCAGCTGATGGATGCGCAAATGCTCAATGTGCCAGGTCGGACATGTGATGTGGGCGATTTGGTCGACTCTTGATCATATTTCCACCCCTCCCCCACATGAAGACGGTCTTATTACGGCTTTTACAATCCAAATGGTTCCTCTAATTCATCAAGAGTCTACATTTGGCAGTCCTGGTTTTGGGTATTTTGGGTCCTCTTTCCGCCCTTTCTTGCCGCGGAAGGGGTCGTGTCGGCCGTGATCTCGTTTCGGGTCTCGTTTTCGGCCTTCGGCGGCCGAGGCCCGCTCGCACCGCTCGGACCGCAGCGTTCGATGGATGGACCTCGGATGACCGCGAACCGGTGGATGAACGAACGACACCATGAACGGACCATTCTAACACTCGGAGGGAAGAAAAAACATCCAATGTACCACCGGAGTCATGGGTTTCCCACGCGTCACCAAACGCGCCCCCGTTGGACGTCTTCGCAGGAGGCATTTAGCTCGGACGGCTGGGGAACGGCGGAGGCGAGAAAAAAGGCGTCTCGTTTGTGTGCGATGAGTCTCGTGTGCGGCTGCAACGGTAGTATGAAGCGACGAACAAATCCATAGAATTTTCCAGGTAGAAGAGACGAGGTTCAGCCTCCTACCTGGTTGGAATTCATTGCAAAAACCCTTAGAACAAATCACATCCCTTTCCACAGATTTTGGAGACCGACGACGATCGGGGGATCGTCGTTGCTGGCCGATACATTCACGATGGAGTTATTTCTTCCGCCGCCGCAAGAATCAGCTTCACAATGGCTCAAGCGCTTCAAAGTGGCCGTGGAGCAAACCAATGCAAGCCCCTATGGCTCCAGCAGTGAAAGAAGTCAGCCAATCCCAGAGCGCCTTGCACTGTCCGAAGACACCAAACAATTGGGGGCGCACGAGCACGAGCAAGAGCCGGCACGAGCACCATGTGCATGCTTTGGTTTTGGAACCCTTCCAATCCGCAACAACCGAGATCTTGGCCATCAGACCATGCTTTGAGAGGCCGCGAGGCGGCCTTGAAACACGCGTGCTGACGTATTCTTCGTCTCTCACGGATTGAGATCTTTGTCTTGTGCCCACCTACCACCCTGAAGTCTTCGTTGGGTTCCTCTTCGGAGTCTTCCTGCAGTTTCCAGCCATTTCTTCGCGTGAAGGTGACGAGCAAGCCGGCCATGGTCGATCCGGAAGGCGCTCGGAACTGGGGGCCTTGACCGTCACACGAGCTGGGTTTTCTCGATTGTTGACTCGTTGACCGTGCTTTTTGGAAGGTTATTTTTCCGGTCCACGATACCGAGACCAGCTTCTTGACCTGAGGGTCCCCGGCCAGTGACGCTTTGGAGGCTCAAAAGGACCTTTCGACCGAAAGTTACGATGACTGGAGGGTCAGGGGTCGAAGTAACCAGCTCCAGCTCCGTGTTCATCGCCCTGAGCCGGACGCGAAACCTCGAACCCCTCAGGAAGAAGCCGAGCGACGGAGCGGCTTCGTTCGCGGGACTTGGATGGCATCGCCCAGCCCGCGACGCCCAGAGCGGCCATGCGCGGCGGAGCCGGGTGGAAGTGGGCTGTCACGTGGAGGTGCAACGATGCGAAGCATATGGTTTGGCGAAGCATATGGGCGAGGTGGTCGATGTTCGGTTTCTAGGGCCCTGTAATTGCTATGGGGATACTACGGGAGATAAGCCCATTTTGAGACAGGCAATTTTCGGACCTTTCGCCTGAAGCTCTCTTGAACGGGTTTTCGTTGCATGTCTGTGGTTGAAGCTGGACGGGTCTGGCCTTCAGCTGTGGTCGGTTTGGTGGGTTTGGGTCTCGCAACCTGTAGGTCCACCTAGCAGGGATTAAGGGGTCCCGGTGCTATGACCCACAGCCAAGATCAGCCAAGTAGCTGTGCTGCTTTGATCCACATCGTTCGGCGGTTCGATCTGGGATCTATCTCCGGAGGACCCCTTTTTTCTGCTGGGTGCTGAGGTTCATGGCGGATCATGCTGGGTGCTGAGCCTGGTGAAAAGTCCTCAGAGTCCTGATGGAGTCCTGATCTTGTCCTAGCTTTGGCAGTGGGTTTGACCTTGGATTCAAGCAGTTCCAAGTCCATTTCCAGCACATCGCCTTTTGGGAGTTCAGTCGCAAAGAACGTGGTTTTCGAGGCCCGGCATGTGGTGGTGCTTTGTGGAGCAGGGATTTCCACGAGCGCCGGAATCCCGGACTTCAGGCAGGGAACCGCAGGGAAGCAAAACACCGGCACCGATCGAAAATCGGGTCAGGTCGCCGGGTACCGGCTTGTACCACAACCTACAACGCGGGGCCTCAGTCCAGATGGCCTTACCTTTGCTTTATTTGTCCTCTTCATCTTGTTCATACCCCCTGCAGATTAACTGACATGCAGTCTGGAACCCTTGCTTGAGTACATGTGCCATGATTCTTTTTGGTGCCATGGCTTGGTAAGCCGCTTCTATCACATCAGCAGATCGCTCGGGTGCGTGAGGGTTTTTTGGTCTTTTCTCCGCGCCGCGCGCGGCGTGTGTCGAGGTTTTGATCTACCGGAAGCTGAAGCGATCTTTGACTTGAAGTACTTCCAGAAGGCGGCGACTTCTTGAGCACCTGCTGTCGTGTAGAGGCACCAATAGCGATCTGGGCAACTGTTCACGTGTAGCAACCTGGGCGCCCTGGAACTGTTCATGGCCGCTCGTCCCGCGCAGCATCCGGACGCCTTTTACGAGCTGTGCAGAGAGATGTGGCCAGGGAACTACGCTCCTACGCAGCTTGGTTTGAAGTAGACCATTGGATCAGCTGAAGGCACAGAAGCTGCTTTTGAAGGGAAGCTGCTCACCTTGGTGGAGCAAACGTTGAAGACGACAGCTGAGGGCATGTCACTATTTCATCCGCCTCCTCAGTGACAAGGGCATCCTACAGAGGCAGCTTACGCAAGTGGAACACTGAAATCATCGAACGCGTCGAACTCATCTCCGTCCGATCCTTCTTTGGCTTGCAGGCGCCGGAGACCGGCCTCTCCGAACCGGCTGTAACCATCGAACCTCTCGACATCACATCGGTATGAACGTGCTACCCATCGTTTTCATCGATTTTTCACGTCAGCCGCCGCGTTTTCCTCCCCGCGCTTCGATGGAACGGTCGGGACCGGTGGCGTGACGCCATGGCGCCCTCCCGCCGTGCCCTGAAGAAGGCCTTCCTGGAGCTCAAACGCTTCCCGAGGCGCAAGGAGCGAGATGGACACGCGTTGTTCGTTTGGGGGACACGGCGACGCGCTACCAGAGCGCTTGCGGGGAAGCCTTCGGTTTTTTTGGGCGGCTCTTGGCTGCATGGGTTGGGTAACTAAAGGCATATGGCGAGGTTGCATGTAAGAGTGAAACAAGCTTGCAGCGCTAGCCTGAGGACAAAGGCAAGCGGGCTCCTTTCTGCCGTTTGAAATTCACACACAGGCTTTTGCGCTCACCCGCGAGCATGGAATGAACAGTCACATTGAACGGGTGCCTAATTTAAGGCTGAGACTGGTTGATGCTGCAACCCTGCAGGACGTGCAAGATGTACTGGGATTGGTGCACCTTCAAGAGAACTTTGAGGTGCCTTGTTTGGGCCTGCCTACCCTGTCTAGAACAAAACTTGACCATCGGAGGCATCAAAGCTCTTGAAGTTCTTGGCTAACGAGAAGCGGGCAGACGTCATTTTGCCATTGCTCCAGATTTTGCAGCAGGACCAGAAGGGTGTGTGAGACACGGGACTGAAAGCAACTGAAGGTGTGCGTCTTTTCTTCTGGACGAATGCAAACACAGCGCCCCCAATGCAAACACGTCGTCCTTCCGGTCGTCCTGCCAGCAAAGGTGAAAACCTTCGGTTGCCGCGTGAAGATCGTGAAGAAGTGATGGTGTGGGGGGGGCCACTCTGAAGCAGACGAACGAACTGGCTCATGACTGGTGGTGTCTATGGGGTCTTGTCCCTTAATGTAGACTCTTGATTAATAAGCACAACAAAGCCTTTGATGTAAAGAGCTTGTTCTGGGAGGGTTTATTCATCAAGCGTCTACATTGAACATTCTCTTTGGATCTGGAGCCAAGCGTCTTGAGGGAAGGCACCCGGTTTAAACTTCTTGCTCGCAGGATGGCGCGCCCCTGTCCCCGCGCTGCTTCACGACGGGGATCTCCACGTGCGCGAGGCCTTCAAAAACACTTGGGGCACGCGGAGACTGTTTGAAGGCATATGGACATTTTTCGATACGCTCGAGGCCTTCGAAAATACGGGCCTTCTTGAGCGAGGTCGTTCTCCAACTCGTATTTTTGCAAAAAGTCTCTTGCCAATGCTGACGGTCGCAGCGCATGAGAAAACGGAAGCGTCCCAAAGGCTTCTTCCCCAGGTCGCGTGACCGTGTTTTTTCGGAGGTCACGCCTTTGGAGGGATGCCTTGGCCCTTTTCGACTTCATGAAAGTCACAGAGGCCGTGGCCCTGTCCTTCATGTGCAAGCTTAGCAGAGATGTTCATGTTGTTCTTGGAAGCCGTTCTCAGTTGTGACAACTCACACCACCTGCCCGACCTTGCTTTTTTTTCTGTGTGAAGATGGGAGAATCGGACGGACCTTCTCGGACCGTCGGAGAATCACTCTCACGATGCGGAAAAGAAGCTTCCAGGATTCACATGGAGTTGAACAAACAAACCCGATAATTTGTACGTATTGAGTAAGGAAGGTTCCCACAGGCTTCAGAATAGCTTGGCCACCGCTTGGCATTCTGTGGTTTTAACTTGGAGATGCTGCCTTGTCGCGCTAGCAAAACGCAGGGGTTGCGCTAGGTTTGGTGCTAGGTCAAGTACTTAGGTAAGATTAACAAACAACACATACATACATTGGTAATTAAACTTGCTGAGGTATAAACGGATAACCTGTGGGACAAAGCATTCTTTAGCTGACTTCATCTTTGTCTGTGTCTGGACACAGCCATTTTGGCTGCAATTGGTTTATGTAAGGAGACACCGACACCCATCCATTGCGGGCATGGGAACCATTGTGCTTCGATTCTTCGTGTTTTTCAAAGCTAGGAAAGCCGGCAGACCGCAAAGCGTGCTCTTGATCACAGCCGTTTGGTGGCCTGAGGCACTGCCAGGATAGCGCGCTAGATGCGCGCTAGACCACTTTGCAACTTTGACCACTTGTCCAACTGCTTTCCAGGGATACTATTCGATACACTAGAGACATGCACACAAGCGGATTGCCTGCGCGACGTTGCGTAGGGGTGATGAGAGTGAGGAAAATCATTTCTATCTATCATTTTTTGACAACTTGTTTCTGGGTATAAGAAAGAGGACTGCTACTTTCAGCTTCACACTTGGAACCGTTTGGCTTGGAAGTAAGAATGCGGTTATGAAAGGGGCACGCACAACATACAACCATAAGTGTGAGTAGATGTTTTGTACATGAAAGTCACCGTTTGGAACTGCTGTGAATTGACCTGTTTTTTGAGCTCACATGGAGGCCAGGGTGATGTGGCTCGTCCCATCCAGGGGCTGTGGATGTGACATGACCGGGCACCCCGAGTTCACCCTTGTCCTTTGTTCAGGACCGGCGCCCCGAACTCTGTGACTCCTGTTCCCAGGTGTCTCCCAACCTCTTCAACTACAGCGCTGTGATCAATGCTTGTGGGCGAAACGGACAGTGGGAGATCTCATGGCGGATTTTTCAGGCTCGGCCACCGGGAAAAGCCGAGTTGAACGGAACGGAACGGGGGGTCTGGGCGGGTTCCAGGTGATTGAGCTCTGTATATGGGTGGTGGATATTTTTTTCGGAGACCAGCAACCAATGGGTAGACCCGGTCTATCTAACGAAGCATCCAGTGGGAGGTCTCCCAAATACACATCCATCTCCTTTGCCAGCGAAGTGGTTTTAAACTTAAACCCTCCCGAAATCGGTACAGTGGACCTGCCAGTGGACTGGCGTCCAGAAATCATCCGCGCTTGGCCGGCCCAAAAACACCTGTACCGGTACCGGGCCCCCTGACGGGTGGTAACCTGTTAGACACCCCGCCCTGGTAGATGTCACTCGAAGCAGGAGATGTCTGAGATGCAAATCTCGCCAGATGTGGTGAGCTATGGCACCGCCATCAGCTGCTTCGATCACAGCTCCCAGTGGGACTTGGCCTTGCACATCTTCCACGAGAGCCAGCGATCGGTTCCAGCAGACGCTCGGCTCGGTGTGTCCGCGGTGGGCGGCGTTCGTCCCTTTTTGGGCCGTCTGCCAAACTACGTGGTGCGACTTCCTGGTTTTGGAGCATGTCCACGAGGTTGTCCCTCTCACATGATGTGGAACTGGAGCTTTCTGAACTCACCTGCCGCTCCCGCTTTGGATATGAGAGAGGCTGATGTCATATCGCCAAGTTCGAGTTGCCAGGTCAAAGGCCGAGATCTTCAGGTTTTTGAGGTGAACAAAGATGGCGTCTGGGTGGTTGTCCCACCAAACCCTGGTGGGTGGACGTCTCGTCGTCGATTCAAATCTATTCCTTTCATGTTCGGTGCACTTTTAAGCGGTTTTGGGTTAGGACGGTTAGGGTGCAATGTTGCATCCTTTTGATCCATGGGATGATGCCCTAGGTACATTCAGGGTGGCTCTGTTCGCTTGATGAAGCCATCCCCCACTGGCGGAATGTCTTCTAATACGGAGACACCCAACCAATGGGTTTTGGTCCACTTTCCCTCTTCCAAAAGGTTTTTGGGAGGTCTCCTCAATTGAATACACTGAATACACACCCAATCGGCGAGAGGAAGCGTTTGGATAACTCCCTCTGTCGTGCACGACAGCGAGTGGAACGCGCGGAATGGAACTCTTTCGGGTCTCGGGGGCAGGCGGGGGTGAGGGAATCATAGTTACTAGTAGCTTCTTGATGCCAGGAGCCCCGTTCGTAGCGTCCGAGCCCCGTTCGTAGCTTGCCACGAACGTACGATGCACCTGCTATATACTGATCTGATAGCGACGCCCTTGTTTGTGAGTTGGGGGATGGTTTTTGGGCTTTTCTGGCCTTCCGACCGGACCTCCTCCTCTCCCCCCGAGGGGGGTGCTCTGGGTGGATCCGCCCGTGCCCTGGGTCGGGAGGGTCGTCCGAATGGATCGTCCGTTGGGGAGGACATCGTGGGCTTTAGTGCGATGATCAGCGCTTTGGACAAGGCTGGACGCTGGGAAGATTCATTAAGCTTGTTCGAAGAGATGTCCAGTTCCTTGGCTGATATGTCTTGGCTGTTTTCCGCGCTGGGCTTGTTGGCCCGGTCTAGAATTACGTTTGATAGCTTTGGTGATTCCAGTTTAGTTTTTTTCAGCGGAAACGCCTGCCTCCGCATTCGATGATGTAGCCGAAAGGCGGTACAACAGAGCAGCTAGACGTTGGCCCAGTCATTTTCTAGTGGGACCTGAGCTTTGCGCACACGGGTTTCGTAGCAAAATCTCACCTTGCGCCCTTCATTTTCTAGACCAGAAATGGAGTCGCCAAACCTCAGTCCCTACTACAAGATGCATTGTGAATTCAATGGGGATCAAAACTTACACTCTTGCCTGAACTGCCCCCACAAAGATGAGTTCGATCTACGAAAGCCTTGAGAACAAGCAATTGGTAAGGAAATGCACAAAAGAAACGGTATATGAATGATTCTTAATGATCTGTTTCCCTGCTCAGATTCACCACCAGCATCAGCAGACCTCCAAAACCATCAAGAGTACTTGCCTAGAGTTCATTTCAACTTTTGTGAGGGTTTGGCCTTGGTTTCTTTGGCCAGTGGCCCAACAGAATCACTTTCTGCAAGACTACCAGCAGGGCTTATGGCTGCACATGTTCTTTCGTTAAACTACACTCTCACATAATATACATTACAATGTTTTGTTGTGTGAAAGTCTGAGACACTCGCAAGTGTGGCCTTGCTTTAAATTGGTTGTCGCTCCAAGGTGCAAATCTCTCGCCAGACACGATTTGCTTGTCAGCCGTCATTAGTGCATGTGGAAAGGGGCGGCAGTGGCAACTGGCTTTGGAGATCTTACATGAGAAGGCCGTCTGACACGTGGAACAGCAACTGTAGGTTGTTGCTGTCAGCTCCAAAAACATAGCATTCGCCATAGGATTCGCATGGTTCGCCTTCCCTTTGCATTTATTTGCATGTCTTACTCTTCGTGGTTCCGGCGGACCGAGAATCGTTCCGGCGTTCCGGGAATCTGATCGGTGGGGAAGCGGTGCGGTTTCAGGTGTCTGAGCCTGATGTGATTTGCTTCAGCGCAGCGATTTCTGCGTGCAAGAAAGCTGGGGAATGGAAGTTTGCAGTGCAGCTTCTTCAAGAGATGGAGGACCAAGTTTCGGAAACTCTTTGGAACTACTCTTGCTACTCAGTTTGAAGGGGCTGGTTTGAAAGTTTGGATCAAAGATCGAGCCAGTCACTTGTGGCACTTGTGATTAATCTGGCTTAATCCATCCATGTTTGGTTTAATTTTTGGAGCCAACCAACCACAGGGATGGATGATTCATGGAGGGCTTCGTCCCCAGTTCCCAGCTCGGACAGCTGCGGCGCTCTGCTTGCGGCGGCAGGACCTGAACTTGCGGCCCGATTACGTCACCTGTTGCGGAGCCATCAGTGCCTGTGAAAAGGGACACCAATGGCAAGCAGCGTTGGAACTTCTGCAGGCGCCGAAAAAGGGGCGGCAGCTTTGGCCGGCCGGTCGGCCCAAATAAGAAAACGCCGAAGCCCAGGTTTTTGGGGTGGTTGTACTCAAAGAGGCTTAAGTCCTTTTTGGGAACAGGAACAGATCATGCAATTTCTTCTTGAAACACTTCCCTTGTTGTTGAATCCCAATTCCAGGTCCGTTTCGGGATTGGACCGATTATTTTCGAGTCTCCTTTTTGGAGAAATATATCCGTTCAAAACACTTGTCGAACTTGTTTCTATTCGGCATACATGTGATGGTGAACGCACAGAGGCCGCCGATGCAACGTGCCCCAGCGACTGTCTTTGCGCATGCGACCCCACTTTGGTGATCTGTCGGAAAAGCAAACCATTTCCCGCTTTTGATCACTTTATATACGAGAATCCGCGAACGTGGAAATCGAGCGGACTCCGTGGTTTTCCAGGCTCCTCTCTCCTCTCCAACTTGCTGATGACTGAGTTTTTTTTTGGCATCCCATCATCAAACCTGTTAACTGGCATCTTTCAGCCGCAGAAAACTGCAGCATGGTTTGAAGACAGCATGTTCTCAGCGCGAAACCGGCAGGTCATGCCAGAAGCTTCGATGACTTTGGATGCCATTAGCTACAACGCGACGATCAGCTCTTGTGCAAAAGGTGCCCAATGGCAGACGGCGCTTCAGTTGCTGGACACCATGCTTTCCGTGGAGGCCGGCAGGTGTCGTAAAAACCAGAAAGATTACTCTCCTGAGAGGTATTCCGCCAGAGCTGATGTAGGCCTCTTGTGCGCAGAATCAGGCAATTTATGATCAAGAGTCGTAACCGGCTTTGGGTTTGTATGAGTTTCATGTTCTGCAAGAATCTGATGGGCAAAGTCAGTCATTGCGGGCGGCAGCATGATCCCTCTTGGCCACGGCCACCCTGCCACCCTGCCAGGTGTGGCCTGATGTGATCAGCTGCACTTCAGCCATTAGTGCCTGTGAGAAAGATGCACGGTGGCTCATGGCCCTAGGGGTCTTCCAGTCAATGTATGACTTCAAAGTCTTCCCTGATCGGATCAGCTTCAATTCAACGATGCGTGCTTTTGCAAAAGATGGACAGTGGCAGTTGTCCCTCAGTTTGCTCCATGACATGAAGAATGAGGAGACACTTGGGCGAAACAAAAGGAAACAACACTTGTGCATCGTGGTTGTTGAAAATTTCGTTGAGGGGCACGCACCCCTGTAATGATGTTCACAAGATGTGAATGGTCCATGCCCGTTTGCACACCCCGGCCAGCCTGGCCCGGCCGGTGGTTAGCAGGAAAAATCGCTTCGTCTGACGGCAGCAGAGGGGCATTTTGCAACTAGAAGGTGGATAGACATATTTTCCTTAGGTGGTTAGACTCCCGAAACCCACCCCAACCATCTTTTCAGAAGGTAGTTGGAACCCTAATTAGGGCTCGTCGACGGTTCCGGGGCGGAAGACACTCTCTCCAAGGGACCACTCGTGGCTTCGTGGATGGCATGGTTTGTGGGAAAATGCCAATGCAAGGTGTCTAGAACAGGGGGATGCCATCGATGAAACCATGTTTGTAGGGAAGGTATGAGATGTTGCAAGACAGGACTTGATGTCCCACGATCTGTGAGGGATCTGTCATGTCGGGCTGCGTGAAACAAAGCCAATGGTTTTGGCAGGTTTCAGGGCCATGTGGATGATCTCTGGATGATCTCTGGATGATCTGGAGGAAGGGACCAGGGGCCAATGCGGACCTCGGTCACTTGACGTTGAAAAACACCGCCCTTTAAGACCTTGAAGCCAAAGCAGAGTACCGGTACCGCGAGCTCGATTTTGGGATGGGGGGACGCTGGGTGAACTGACAGCCAGCCAAGGATTCAAGCTGATGCCACTAGTTTCAATGCTTTGATCAGCTCTTGTGACAAGTCAGAGGAGTGGGAGATGGCCCTCCATCTCTTGGAAGAGATGCTTCAGGCAGGGTGTTGCGTCATTGCAATGGAAAAGAACCCAGATAAAGCAATCAAACCTTTTAACCTTTTGTGTTGTTCTTCTCGGTTGCTGGAGCACGACCAACAATTTTGATGGGTCGATTGAGCGAAAGAAGAGAGGCAAAAGAAATCAACAGAATCTCCCAGGTGGACTTGCAGCCTGATCTCATTACTTACACCTGCTTGTTGAACTGCTATGAGACAGCTCGTCAGTGGCAAAGGGCCTTGGAACTCTTTGCAGTTTTGCCCGAGATCAAGGCCATGCGGTTGCTGTTTCTTTTTTAAATCATCGTTTGCTCCATGCGGTTGCTGAGGACAGTATTTTTTCTTTTGCCGTTTTTTGTGTAGAATTGTTGGAACTCCTCCCACTGTGCGACGTGATGTTGTTCTTGTGCCTGAAGCCAGCAATCAAGGCCGGACACATGTTTGAGGGTTCCATGCCACTGATAGACTTGCTGTTCTGTCGAGTACGCATGGAAACCTTTACAGTGTGCAGTTCCCAATGGCTCAAAGTTGTCCAAGAACTTTTGTGATTTCATGACAGTCATCGAAAAACACACCATTCTCTCATGATCCCAGTCGCCCAGTCGCTTGCGACTGGGTGGAAGGGAGACAAAAGTGGACATCTCAATCCTCAGTGTAAATTCGCAGTTGTGTTGTGTTGATGTCGATTCCCGACCCGTGGGTGTGGTGTGCTGCCTGAAAACAAGGTGACTCCCGACAAGATCAGCTACAATGTGACCGTCAGTGCCTGCGAAAAGGCTGCTAGATGGCAGCTGGCTTTGGCATTGTCACTCAGCTGAGCTGGCTTCTTTTTGCATGATTTGGCCGGTCAGTTTAATGTTTTCTAGAGTAGTTTGAACGATAGAGGTCTTTTTCTTCTCCCTTCCCAGGCCCCCTCAAAAGAGGTGCTCTCGGCCAAGCAGGGACCGGAAGATGTGGACTTCCCCGTAAAGGGCCCTGAACAAGTCCTCCCTTGGTCCATGCTGCAACCCTTGGTTGGAGTTTGAGGCCCATTTCCAGCAGTGACAGGCCTTTTTGAAGAGACCTCCTTAGCGGATGAGGTGGCTAGGACTGGCGAAGGAGGCGCCGGAGTCTCGTTGGCAGGCACCACCTGTTGGTAGAGAAAAAGGCTCTTCCCAGGGGCCATGCCATCCACTTCTCAGCACTTCAGAATGTTTTAGAAGATTTCATCCTTTTGCGCACCCACGTTGGATTTCTGGGCTTTCCGCAGCACCCGTGCTTCCCCCCGGAGGTGCACGACCTCTGGACCTCGCACCCTTGAACCTCACGCCGTTGCGGACCTGTCCTCTGACGCCCCGGGCGACCGTGACGTCGACCCGTCGAAAGAGCGTTTGGAATTCGTTGGGCGCCCGTTTTTCTTCGAAGCAGACAGCATCCGGCAGGGTTGCATGGAGCGAAAAAGGTGAAGAAGGGTTGGTTCGTCCGAAAGGTTTTTGGGAGGTGGAAAGAAACGAAGGATAGACCGTTAGACCAGAGGGATGAATTAGACGAATTCTTTGCATCTCATTTTGGTCCCAAGGATGCCTTAGAACTTAAAACCCATCCGCCCATTGCCACCCATCCTTGAAACCCTTGGGGTGTGTATTAACCAGAGGGAGACATCCCCCAGTTTTTCCACACCCCCGGGTTGCCGAAACCGGAACCTGGCACCTCAAATCGGCGGTAAGCGCCAGGGCCCAGGGGGGCGAGAGTTCGGACTCTGGCAGCCAAAATCGCCATAGCGAAGTGGACATCTGTTGATGGGACTGAAGCTGAACAGGACCTCCCAGCTTTCCGGGTCACACGGAATCGTCAGGCCATTCTGCTTCTCCCCCTGACCCACTTCGGAATCAAAACCACCCAAAAACCACATGAAGTGGTTTTGCGGAGACGACTTCGACAGAACTCCAGAACTCCTGTGGCTCAACGCCGGACCCACGGTGCATTCTGTGGGTAAACCCGCCACGGACCGCGGGTCCACGCGGCAGGTGCTACACTCAGAACATCGATTCTCTGGAGCATGCGGCCGGGGCGGCCCGTGCAGAACGAACGAACCGAGCCGAAACGCAACGCAGCATCTCCGTGAAACAGTGGGATGCGGCAGGTCACCTCTACTTTAGACCGCCAAACGCACAAAATATCGTATAGGTCCTTTCCATCTTTTCCTATCAAAACAGGGGTCAAATGGGTTAGAACAGGAAAAAGAGTCTTTCCAAATTCCATTCAGTTCTCAGGAAAAGATAGATTCACCACAAGAGGGGGGGTCATTTCACAAGGTCCCGAACCGCGCCGCATCCAGATGCCGCCTTTCCGGCATTCTTTCACCAAGGAAAGATCCTCAGCCAATCAGAAAAGATCTCAAATTTCAGCAATCTCACCAATCCCATGGAGACAACCTAAGAGCGACGGCCTTCAAAAGACTCCCCTCACAAACCGAGATCCTCCCACCCATGATGGTGACCAGCCCTGTGAAAAAGCGGTGCGCCGGTGTCCAAGTGATCGTTTATAGGTCCAGGATCGACACCAACCCCACACCAACCCGTCCCAGTGAAACCTTTCGTCTTCGTGGTGTTTTTGGATCCCATGACCTCAACGAAACCAGGCCGGGATCCCGGCCGAGCTGCTGGTGGCGGCACACGGCAACTTCGATGCGGCACACGTGGTGGACGACAACGTCGGACTGGCCTCGAGCTGCTTGGATGTCCAGAAGCTGCGAGAGCTGGGCTTAAAGACTTCTAAACTTCGAGGTCGCCAAAGCAGGAGGGGTTTGGGAACCATAGGGAACCCCCAAAACCGGTGGGAGGCCCCGATTCTGGGGGCCGCACCCAGATAGAGCCTGGTGTCCAAGACATTCGTAGAACTGATTCACATTTCAGCCCTTTCAGTTCGGGTCACTACATGCTTCCTTGGCTGTGCATTTGGGACATTGGCTGCTATAAAGCTCGGAAGTTCTAAACGACACTCAAGCTTTTGGGCGAAGTAGTGGGGGTGAGGCTTCAGAATCATAAATCATTCTGCGACATAGCGCATTTGGTTGTAATTATTGTTGTTCTTAGTGATCGTTGTTTCTATCATCTTGTGTTTGGTGGTTTCCTTGGTTCCTGCTGCACCCGCCCAATCGAAGTCTCGCTCGATTGGCTCCTTGTGCCGTCCAGGCTATGATGTGGACATCACAGAGCTACAAGATGCCCTCCATGATCCCGGGGATGAGGGATGGCAGGCGCTTGACAGACTGGATCACATTTAAGCCAGCGCTCCTGGTTCTTCAAAGTGGCCTTTTGATCCCCTGGTTTGAGGTCACTTAATCCTGGAGAAGGTCGCTTAGGGACTCCCAAAAGGTCAATTTGAAGAAGCTGGCTGCTGGCTTTTTGGAGAAACCTTCCAATTTGAGGTCATAGCCCTCGTCAAGAGGTGATTCGGAGTGTTCCAAAACGCACCGAACTTGGAAGGTCCTGGTACTTTCCCGTCACTGTCTTCCGGGAAAACACTCCGCGCGAGTCGCACGCTGAGCCGCGCGCTCTCGTCCCACGGCTGGACCAGGAACTACGAGAACATCACGGCGGATTGGTGAAGCCCAAGATCGTCTTCTTTGGCCGCTCGGGCGGCGTTCTGCGCCCCAAACGCTCGGCCGGATTGGTCGACCCGGATCGTGCGGATCGTGCGGGGTTTCGCCCACCTCGGGCGACGGCAGGCGCCGCTGAAGAGAGTGTGCTTTTCCGAAGGGATGAGACCGTTTGGGAGGGAATCTTCGAGAGTGTCCACTCCTGTAAAAGCACCCCAAAGCATCGTGCTGGGCCGTGGCTGCATCTTGGGGTGCCAAACGGTGGGCGTCTCAGTGTCCTTCGGCGCGCGATACGCAACCCTTCAACCATCGTTGGACCCGATCGCCCCGAGAACGCCGCTTCGACCCGTCGGGTCCGGAGCCCGGGGTCGTTCTCAGGGGAAGAGCTGCCGAAGCGCTTCTTTGAGCTACACAAGGCGGACTTGGCGCTGTGTGATCTTCTCTTGGCCGGGCCCGTTGAGAAAGCGAAATGGAGGGGAGGTGAGGTGAGGTAGTTGGGAGGCAATGGATTTTGTGAGACTTTCCAAAACAACAGCAAGAGAGGCAATCTGGAGGAAGACCTGCGAGTTGTGGCTTGGTGTTTTGCATAGCTGGGTGGGTCAAGGCTTCCTTTGTAGGGACTCACCATAGAATCTACCAATGCCATCACCAAGAGCCATATTTTGAGTGGTTGGGCAAACACCGTATTACGAATTCTATAGGTTCGAAGACTGCACCATGGGTGTGTATTGGACTAAGACACCTGTTTGTTGAGCACCTGACAAACCCAGGGACCCGAGCCATGGGAGCCACACGGCACTCGTGTGGTTCCCGCGAGTGAGGTCATGGGAACCTCTTTGCAAGTTTCGCCCTTCAACACCTTGCTGAGCCTCACCTCTGACAAGCCCAGGCGGCGTTGGAACCGAGCCGTGGGCGTCTTGACGACACCCCCGCAATGATGGTGAGTCAGGGGGGGTAGCGTTGGGCTATAGAAAGCCGGTGGTTCATTGATGCATCGATTTTACCATAGGAAGGATGCTTGGTGCAAATGTGTTTCGTTTCACCGGGTTTCATATATTATATATATGTATATATATTCAAGTGTGCAAAGTGCCACTGTTTCATCTGTTTCCTTGGAATTGAAAGGACCCGTTGCAACATTTTCAGGCGGAAGGCTTCAGCACTTTTGACTTGAGAGTCTCTCTCTCTCTCTCTCTCTATCTTTCGTTTCGTGTCAACTGCAGGTTGCTGATCAACCGGGAGGCGGTCGGCTCATGCCTGGATCCCGATCTCTTTTCGCACCGATCCGTGTGACCGACGCACGACGCACGACATGGCACGAGAGCTGTGAGTGATCAGGCCGTTTTCCGGATCCTGTGAAGGATCGCTGAAGATCAAACTGAACACCGGTGCATTCCGCATGTAGCCTGAGATACTTCGAGCGACCAGACACCATGGAGGTGATGAGGCGAAAGGATGACATTGGTCTGTTTGGCTTTCAGATTGTCCAGAGGCCTTTTCGGAAGACCAACGGAACGCCGTTGGATTCATGCATATTGGGTTGTTCTTGACGTCTTCGACTCTCCTTCTCTTGTCTTTGGTACATTGACATTCCAGTTGACACTCCAGCAACAACGGACCGACACATTCACTGATGGCTTTGGCTTGAGGTGATGAATTGGCTGGTGGCTTTTGCTTCCAAGCTGACAGTTTCTTGGCGGCGCTTCTAGTCAAAGCCGGACCAAGCCAACTGACTACAATGAAGTCAGGAAACGATGGACACTCCCTGATTTTTCTATATGAGTTCGTTTTGGAGTACTCTTGTAGACATCTATCACCTCAGTCCAGGTGATGGGCAGGACGTCTTCTATCAAGGAGATTGTGATGCGGGTGTGGAGGCCTTGGCTGAGAGGCGCGCCCCAACCGAGTTGGGGCACAAAAAAGACACCGAGACGAGATTGACGAGACGTTGTTTCCGAGATGTTCTTCTTCGGGGAGGGAGGGAGACTGACTTGTGCTTAGTAGGACATGAGGACAAGAGATGCTTTAGGATCCATTCCCTTAGCCCTTACTAAGCACGAGTCAGGAGAACGACCGTGAAACTCACGAAGCCATGAGTTGCCGCAGTGAACGTGATGCCGCCGTCCGACCCCCCAAACCACGACCTGCGTTCGGTTCGGTTCAGAACGTCCACAGCCAGGGGCGATCACGCTCAGTAGGCTGCTTTTCCGGCGCCGACCGACCCGGCGCACCCTCGCGACCGGGCGGGCCGGACTGGGAGGGACCCCAGGCTGGGATGGTTGAAGGAGCTGCAAGAGCTCGTCGCACTGGGCCAGAAGGAAGCGGAGGAACTGCAGCACTCGGAGCTCTGGAACACAGCCGTTGGAGTCGGTAGACGTTTGGTGGGCTCGGGGTTTTGGGCGAGTGAGACACAAACGTTGAACAAGGATGGCAGAGGTTGAAAAGGTGGCAAGACATTGATAGAAATCACATGCTTGGTTTTGCTTAGGGCTGAGGGGAATTCCTTTTTGTGAATCCCCTGGCATGTATAATATCTTTTTCAGCTCCTTAAGCAAGTCCAAGCATGGCAATATATGGCAATCATTCTGAAGTTCAGAGTGTACAGTGCACTTATAGTATATAGAGATATAGAGGTATCATATAGTGAGTTCACTTTTTTGCCTGAGGAAAAGCTGCCATCACACTCGGTCTTTTCTGAGGAGTGCCACTGATCTCGCTTTTTCAAAGTCCTGGCAACGCGGCAACGCTTGGGATGAAACGGACACTAGAATGAACTAGTTTTGCTTGAGAGTCTGGAACTGCGGAGTTTCTAGAGTAAAAGGAATTCTTGACTACACCAAAATGATCAGATGAAAGGACAAAGGGTGGGTGCCGTATCGTTGCGTGACAGGGCAGATTTGCACCAAAGGTCCCTATGTGGCTTTTGGTTCCTTTTGTGCAGTGTTGGTTTGTCTCCAGCCCTTCTTGCAAGATGTGAATGTGCGCGTGCCTTTTTCCCGTGTCTGCAGAGTCAGCTGCAGTCGTCGGGCAAGTGGGCCCAAGTTATAAAATCAACTCTTGCGCTTTGGCTGCCATAGTTTCGTAGCTTCCGGACGTGAAGCGGAGATCGGCAAGTGAGGTTTGACCAGGACTTTGAAGCGGCCACTGGAGAGAGTTAACTACTGAGTTGTCTTGAATACCAATTTTTGCAGTGAGGGACGAGGAACAGCCGAGGAACAGCTGATCTTGCTAAAGGCGTTCTGATTGTACATAGACATAGAGTTTTGAATCGCCATTGACTCATGGCAAAAAGAGCTCTACCAGGGCCTCCGGTTTGGGGTGGTTAATGGACACCCCTTAACCTCTAAATTGGACACCCCTGGCCCGGGGGGCCCTGGCAAAAAGAGGTATTCGGCCAGGTTTTCTAGGTTTTCGTGCGAGGAACTTCTGATGCACAAGATGAGTTGCCTGTGTGGCTTTCCGGCGAATTCTGGTCATTCCTTGTTGCTAAGTATTCAAAGTGACAGTCGCAAGGTTCTTGACTCTCTTCAGAAATACAAAGCAGGAGTGCCAGACAATAGCTCGCATGATATGTAAAGTCAGACTCGCATGAAAATACAGACTCGCTCAGACTCGTTGGTCTTTGATGGCCGAATGCGCCATGCCGCCCATCCACGAAGCGCCGAGCCTCGTGCAACAGCCGCCTCCTCCGCGGAGAGGACAGGTGCTCTCCGAGCTACAACGCCTGAAATCCATGCGACGACAGGCCTTAGGTGCTGAGGCCAGGGGCCTTGTTGTCGCGGGCACCGGGCTACCGGGCATCCAACTGCCTCCCAGGGACCTCCGAGGGACCAAACACTCGACCAGACTACCAGACCCAAGCTCGCATGCGCTGGCCTCAGCCTGCGCAGAAGCTGCTTTGCACACAGGGGGCTCCTGCACCCTTCTCCGCTCTCAGACGTCGGGAGTAAAAGACGCTTTAAGTGGAGGGGGGCCTCCACTTCGGTGTGATGATGCCTTTTAACAGGAGGCTGGAGAGTTTTTTCAGACACCTGACCCAGACCAAAAACCCCGAGACCCACCCAGATTCTGCGGATTGGAGGCGGATCGACGGCGACGGGAAACAAGGTCCTTCGATGCGCAAACAAGGACCTTTTTTTAATAAGGAGGGGGGAACTATTGACCAGCATCAGGTTTTTTGGTTTTCAAGATTTTCACCAATATTTTCACCAGCTTGGTTTGGGTATGTGGCAAAACCATTTGGTCATACCCAAAGACGTCTTGGCTTTGGACAGCTGCCTGATTCCACGATGGTTGGCTCTTTGTGTCCGAAACAGCTCTGTTGGGTCTTCTGATTCTTGTCCCCCAACGATGGGGGTCACCTGATGTAGGTTGCACGAGGGCCAAAGAACGCCTTTGTGGCCTCTGGATGCACGGTCACTCGGCCACGAGGGCCGCACCCTGTGGCCCAGGGTGCTGTGCCATATTTGTTTGTTTGCTTCTCCCCCAACGGCCCTAGCCTTCCAAGACATTCCAGGACCATTTAAAAATGGTTGGCCATGGTTGGCCTGGTTTGGTTCGGGATTCAGCCTATGAACTTCATGGTGGGCCAGGAATCTTGCACACATTTTGGAGTGTTTTTGGTTTCAAGCGCCTGGAATCAAGGGAATCCTGGAGCGTCTCCACCCGTACGGTGTACGGTGCAATATCGCAGGGCAATGGCCGGCATCGAATGGTGCAGGGTGCCTTCTTCGGTTCGCATTCCCGGCGCGACGGGCTTTTGGGGAAAGACGGGTGGCGCTGCCAATCGAGATTCCGTCGGATTCCAGTCGAACCCAGACATGACCCTGTTTGGATGGGAAGAAGATGGAAGAAGACCTTATTTTGAGTGATTTTTTGTCTAACATAGAGGTCACCCAAGAGGGTCGGACGGCAGTCTCCCTCGGTCCAGCGCCGGGACGGCGCAGGCGGCTGCGCTGGATCTCTCGATCGAGACGTTGGTCTTTGCGCTGCGGGCACCACAGGTGAAGAGAAACAAGTTCAAGAGTGAAGAGAGATTTTCTTACCCTATTTTTTCCGGTATAATAGGCCAAGCATGTGTTGTATTTTTGAGGTGGTTATTTTTCAGGTATATATGATATAGATAGACCAAACCTAGAAATTTGTTTGGGGGAAAGACAAAAAAATAACACACAGCGACCGTTCACGGTGTTTTTTTCCATCTCTTCTGTTTCACCGACCGCCGCCCCCCCTCGAGGCCCCTGGATCATGGCATGCCATGGCCACATGGGCCAAGAGCGTCGCGCTCGAAGAACTCGACGAAGGAGACGGCCGAGGTGTTTACTCGCTTTTGAGTCGGGAACGAGCATTTTTAAGGTCCAGAGCCAGAAGTGAACCAAAGAGCTCTGAGAGTCCTGGTGTTTTTTTCTTGTTTGATGGAGAAGAACTCCATCTACACGAGGAAGCCCTTACGGTGTACATGAGGGATGGCGACAAAATACTTCAGCAGCTGGGAACCCTTCGCCCTTCCGAGATACGCCAGACACAGCCGCCACCTGGTGCCATGACGATTGAGGGTCCGCCATTTGGGAGGAAGACCCACTTGAGACAATGGGAACATGCCAAGTGAGTTCACCTACAGAGTTCACCTAGGTTAGGTTGAATGCAGTCGGCTTCCAGAGCTGCGTGAGCGGCTGACGCTTTGATAACTGCTTTTGCCACGATGCAGGACAGAAGGAAGAGATGCCGCCGAAGGAGGGCCCCCCCGCGGAAGTGGGCTTCGTGGCGGCCGTCCGTTCGATGCGAAAGTCGGACCTGCCGACGGTCCGTCGATGCGGCCGCGCCAGGAGTTGCACCAGGATGGAGTTGTCTTGTCAAGTTCAGAGCGTCCAGACGATGAGAGACAGGAAAAATTGGAGGCTCGCGCATTCTTTTTGGTCACACGTGGGGTGGGCAAAGGAAACCCACAAAACATAGCTATTCCATGCTATTCCCTTGTGTGGTTGGCGAACGACTAGTTCTTGTAATATCTCTTTTTGACTGCAAGTGTTCGTTTATGGCAAAACTGGGGATGTGGCCTGCATCCATTTTGTCTCAAGCATTCTTAGTGAAGTGACGACACAGGTGGGAGCGAAGTGAAACGCAGGTGTAGTAGTCCTCAAGTATGTAGATCGTTTTCAATACGTTCGCAGCTCGGGGGTTCACCTTCAATCTTTTGGGGTCACTCTGCAGTAAACCGCAGCCTTTGTGATTCGTTTCTGAGTTTCGTTACGTTTCATTTCACTCGTGCTTATTTGGAATATGAACAAGTGACCCTCCCGGTGCGCTCTGTTCTGCACCGAAGCGTGCCGTCGAGGAAACGCGACTGGTGGGACCACGGAAGACATCGCTTGACATCGCAGGTTCCCACCTCAGACCCACCCGAGCCACCCGAGCCTGTGGAGCGAGCCGCGGAGTTGGCGGAGCCTGGAGAACGAGCTGCGGAGCCTGTGGAGCCTGCGGAGCGAGCTGCGGAGCGAGCTGCGGAGCCTGTGGAGCCTGAGGAACGCGCTGCGGCAGTCGAGCCACAACCTGCTGATGAGTAGCTCAGCCTGTGCTGCATGATTTGGTCCATTTGATCCACAAGAATCACTTGGCAGCCAAATCTCGAACTCTTCTGCTACTCACTGTTTTGTTTGTGGTCCAGGTAGATGCGTTGGCACGTCTTCGTGCGGCACGTGCACAGGTGTCAACCAGCTTTGGGGGTTCATCGCTTCATCCACCACTGACCACGAAGGAATACGAAGGGGACTGCTGGGAGCGTCGCGGGATTGAGGCCGGCGAGCCACGAGAAGTGGCATGTGGAGAAGACGCCGGATGAAACGCAAGAGGAGAAGCCCGAGCCCGCATCGGTGTACCCGCAGTTCTATGCGGACCGGAGATGCCCGTCTCATGGCTTGATGGGTGCTTTCGTATTGTTTCGCCGGGCTGGATGTGTTTGCGAGGTGGTTTACTGTCCAGTCTGAGGCTTGATGCTGCAAAGTCCGAGCATCAAGAGCGGCTCGGCACCTTCAGTTGGATCAAGGAACGAAAAGGTAACAGATGGTAACAGTTTTGATTTATTTTAACGTTTTGTAGTGTCAAATCCTTAGTAAAACAATGATGGCTATTCATGGTGGTTGGAATCTTAGCGATTAATATACCATAATTTATGATCAACACGAGCAAAACCTTGAAATCTCGTTGGTGAACTGGGGAACCACGGCGTTTGAGATCCGTTGAATTCTTTGGTGGTGAGCAGCGATGAGCAGGTGACCACAGTAGGTAGAACCCAGACACCCCGGAAAAGACCCGGTTCTTGTTGGGTTCTTTTGTTGGTCTAACGAGGTCACCCAGTTGGGTCCTTCGGATGTCGGACGTGACTCGACGTGACATCGTCCGATGTCTTGGAACGACTTGGACCGACGTGGCGCGACTCGGACTACGACCAGGTAGGTCGTGGCCACCGTCCGTTTCGCCATGCCTTTTCATCCAACTCACGGAGACGCCCGGAGCTGACCCTCGACCTTCGACGCTCGGAGCGGGATCGCCGCTCGGCTTCCGCCGCCGCTTCCGCCCCAGGGAGGAGTCGCCTTCCGCGGCGTCTCGGCGTTCGCGCTTGGAGACGGCGCGCAGGTGCGGAGATTCGGTCGGGGCGCGGCAGGGGCCGAGCCGGCGTGCTCGGCTGAGGCCTCGGGGGCGAAGATGGGAGAGCCTTTTTGGGTGCAAAGAAATGTATGCTACAGATACGGTGTTTACAGTTTTACAGAGAATTGCTATCTCCAAAACCTAGGTTTCGAGCTAATTT